ATACTCCCCAGACATATCACCTACGGATTACCACTTTTTCAAACACCTGGATCACTTCGTCAAGGAGAAACACTTCCATGATCAGACCTCTGCCGAAGATGCCTTTAAGGATTTCATCGCCTCCAGAACCCAGGATTTCTACTCGACTGGGATCAACAAGCTTGTATCTCGTTGGCAGAAGTGTGTTGAAGCGGATGGTGCTTACTTCGATTAAAAATGTTCATTATCAGCTGTGTTACCACCCTTCAAAGTTTGCGATCGAATTTGGACATTTATTTCGGAACAGCCTAATATGAAGTGACGCTGGAGCATTCCGGCAAATGCTGTCTCGACAGTAACCTATAAGAAGATGTCGGCCGGGGTCAGATTTGGGTATATGGAAGTCTATCCATTCCTGATGGAAGTATCTCTTGATGGTGCAGTCACAGAAACCCCTAACGAGCAGAGTTTCCATAAATGCGTTAATGTTGAGTGAGGCACTGTCCTACCTGAAACTAGAATAATGCGGAATCTACCGCTGCGGGAGAGTGTGGATTACATGGTCTTGCAATATCCGCCGGAAGCTGTCTCATTTGAGAGACATTCCAGAAGCCCTGCATCATCGCTTCCTGAACTCAGGAAAATTTGACTGGTGGTGTTGAACCACATGTTCACTTTTCCGTCAAGATTGGACTGTGGTGGTTGATTCTCCTCAATCCATGTGACGCAGTTATTGGCATGGACTGCTCCTTGGATGGTGAAGTGGACTTCATCTGTCGACGGGATTCTGTTCGGTCATTAGCCATCCACTTTCACGCGCGCCATAGAACATTCACTTTCTCACGTCGTTGAAAACCAAGGTACGGGTGCTCTGGATCTAGTGCAACTAGCGACTGTCATCGTCCTGTGGACGTTCTCCTTGGTTCAAAAAGTGCCACGAGCAACATCCTTGACTGTAATTGCATGAAGGTGGAATTAAGCTGCCACTTCCTGCACACCGTGAAGCACATGTACCGCCATTTCCGACGTTCCCCCTTGCCCTGGGACGTCGTAAACCAAGGAACCACTGGATTCACCTGGAGCTTCTTGCTTCCACAAAGGACGGGACGCGCGTGATACGCGTCGGTCGCGTCGTAACCACCCTGTTTCTCTATCCGTGTTTTTCACTCTTTGGCACACATGAAAAGTGGTGGAGATTGAATTTACGGACGATACGCACAGGGTCGCGATCGATACTGGATAAGAGTGCCACTCATTAATAGTCCGTTTCCTAGGAGTGATTACCCCCTTGGAGAAACGGGGGCAGGTGGGCAAGACCTATTTTGTCCGAGCGGCTGCTGCGTTGAGCGTTGAAAGGGCCGCTGATTGAACTCGTGGATTCCCGACAATGTTACACGCTTAGCCTTGGCCAGAGATTTCAAGCTTGATTAAGCTGGAGACCGGATGGAACTCTTCAAGAGTGGTTATGTCCAGATTAGCAAATATTACACCTTAGTTTCAATAGCTAACAGGTTGAAAAAGTCTACGCTTTTCCAAAACCAACAGTTGAGGACTTCGCTGACCGGGCAAAATTGACTAGTGGGCCAGCAGTTTGATACCTTGGGCCCGACCCAAAGTTCGTGGAAGTCTTCCAGGGATTGGCTAGTATTATTGTAGTGCTAGGGTCAGGATGGCACTTTGCCTGGCACCGTGGGTTAAAATGAAAGGCTAGTTGGGAGCTCCATAATTAATCTATTGGTTTGACATTTGAAAAACTAATAAGATATATGAAAATAAATAAAATAAATAAATAAATAAATAGGTGAAAGACACAAAACAATGATTCAGGCAATAGCTCAGGCCATAGGCCGGAATGCAACAAAAGTGCAAATGTTTAGCAGGCGCTAGGCCATGTAAAAACACTGGATAAACAGACCAGCCAGACTTGAGGAAAACCAGCAAGACTTGGGAAAGAACCAGCAAAGGAAGAGAATGTGCAGACCAGCAAGACAGCAAGACTTGGGAAAAGAACCAGAAAGAGAATCTGCAGACCAGCCAGACAGCAAGACTCA